AAGCTCGGAGCTGGAAGCTGCTTCTGCTATGATGTGAGCCTGGCACCTTCAGATGAGCTCTGGAGGCTCGGATGAGTCTGTTGGCCTCTTGGGCACATCCTGAAGTTGTGCAAAGGGCTGTTGAGGAGGTCAAAACTATAGGGAGGTTCAAGAAGGCCCAGGTGCTGGGGAATAGGCCACTGGTGATGGCTAAACGTGGTGGTGTGGGTGGAGGGTAAGGGCTGCTCTATCTGCGCTTGTCTGGCACTGCACTTCCCTCCAGTCAAACAGCCAAAGCTGTTGAGACTGTGTCACCTGCTTCCCTCGCCAGATACTTGATCTCAGGCTGAGGCATCTTTCTCTGGCTCTGCTCTAGCTGGGATGGCCAGCAGGTTTTTTACTCTGCGGGGAGAACTGGATGGTCCTCTTCAAATGCATATTTCCATCCTCCAGTAACTGTGGTCTGTGTAATGAATGCTCCCTGAGTTGAATTCTCTCTCTTGTCGCTGTTTCTGCAGAAAACAAACCCCCTCCATGGCAGGAAGCCGCAGGAGCCTCCAACAAAGAGAAGGCGGCAGGAAAAACGGAGCCAGGTCATGCCAGCCTCAAACCTTTCCCACTCAAGAAAGCCCTGGCCATGAAAGACAACGATGTTAGGGCAAAAGGGGCACAAGTGACCCCAGCGTCACAGGCACTGTTCTCCATCCCCCAGTCAGAGGAGTCAAGCTCGGGGAGCGAAACCAAGGTCACCACTGCTGCCAAAGTTCCGGCAGTGCAAACACTGGAAGGGCTGGAAGTGAAAAAGAAGAAGAAAAAGGAGAAAAAAGAAAAGAAGGAAAAGAAGAAACCTTCCTCCACGGCAGACAAGGCTGTGAAAACATCGAAGAGCAAAGACAAAGAGAACAAGAAGCAGAAAACGGCTCAGAAGCGGAAACTGCCAGGAGAGGATGGGGCTGTTGGGCAGCCCAAGGAGAAGAAGCGGAAAGGGCACGGCAATGAAGAAGTACCCAAGAAGAAAAAGAAGAAAGCAGCTGGTGACCTGGAGAAGCTGCCAGGCAGCAAGGAAAAGAAAAAATCAGCTAAAAGTAAGCATCCCTCACTTGGGGCTGCATTTGCAGTAGGTTCTTGCAGCTGATGCACCTTCAGCCTCTGGTGCAGGGCCTTGTAAGTAGCACCCACTTTCCCGTTAGCTTCCTGCTTGGCTCCATCCCTCTTGGCCCACCTAAAGCCAATGCCAGATTTTTAACACCCCGCTCCAGTGTTTTTCTGCAGCCTCGGCACCAGGTCGTGTCGCAGACAGCAGGCTGGGCTCTCCTGCCCCTCTGTCCTGCGTCCGGCACAGTGGGAGCTCTGTTAATACTTGTGCTGATCCTTGCTGCTTGCAGAGCAAGCTGATGTCCCCGTGCATCTTCTGTGGCATGACCTGTCCCTTCAGGGCTTTCTCCATTCACAGAATCCCAGCATGGCAGGGGTTGGAAGGGACCTCTGTGGGTCATCTAGTCCAACCCCCCTCCCAAAGCAGGGTCACCCAGAGCAGGCTGCACAGGACCTTGTCCAGGTGGGTCTTGAATATCTCCAGAGAAGGAGACTCCACAACCTCCCTGGGCAGCCTGTGCCAGGGCTCCATCACCCTCAGAGGGAAGAAGTTCTTCCTCATGTTCAGCTGGAACTTCCTCTGCTTCAGTTTGTGCCCGTTGCCCCTTGTCCTGTCGCTGGGCACCACTGAAAAGAGTCTGGCCCCATCCTCCTGACACACACCCTTAAGATATTTATGGGCATTTCTACGGTCCCCTTCTCAGCCTTCTCTTCTTCAGGCTGAACAAGCCCAGCTCCCTCATAGGAGAGATGCTCCAGTCCCCTCACCATCCTCATAGCCCTCTGCTGGACTCTCTCCAGTAGCTCCTCATCTTTCTGGAACTGGGGAGCCCAGAACTGGACACAGTACTCCAGATGGGGCCTCACTTGGGCAGAGCAGAGGGGAAGGAGAACCTCCCTCGACCTGCTGGCCACACTCTTCTTCATGCACCCCAGGATTCCATTGGCTTTCTTGGCAAACAGGACACACTGCTGGCTCATGGTCAACTTGTCATCCACCAGAACACCCAGGTCTCTCTCTGCAGTGAAGATGAGCTAGTGGGTGGTAGGTCTAGCGACAGGTTTCCATGCGTTGCGTGTATTTAGTGCAATACAAACTCTGGTCTGTGTCTGCGGCGCGGAACAGCTCTGCTAACCCGGCTGGCTGCCCTGGCTCCTCCGTGGCAAACGCCACGCACCAGCGGAGAGCGAAGGCGAAGTGTGGCTGGGGGTGGCAGGCAGAAGGTCCCCGACGTGCTGTGGGCACGGCAGAGGACGCCCCGCGTTCCCGTGTGCGGGGCTTTGTGTCGGGCACACGCTGCGGTCCCAGGGCTGTTACTGCCGCTTTCAAACCCCTGGGGAAAGAGGAGCATGGCACCAGCCTTACGCTCGCTGCTCCCAGTTAAGGGTGTTTCCTGCCCCTCTCCTCTGCACGCCTCTCTCTAATGCTCTGTTGGCTGCCCTAACACAAAGGCAATTTTTGATTTTCCTTTGAAAATCGGAGCTGGTTCTGTGCTGGATTTTACAGGTTTTTTTTTTTAAAGAATCGGCATTGGTGGGCCAGATCTGCCGGGGTTTGTGTTCCGCAGATGCAGCCCTGCATGGAGGAGACAGGCCTGTCCGTCAGCCCTCGCGTGGGCTGTTGCAGAGCGGTGAGCGGGAGCCCCTTGGAGCAGTTGTGCTGAGCTGAACCTTGTGTCCGTCCGGTGTTGGTAGCTCCCCTTGCTCCAGTTTCTGGCAGGTGCCCAGCTACTCCGGCGCTGAAGCGGCTCCTCGCAGTGGGTGGGCAGCGGGAGGTGGGAAGAAGGGTGTCCCATGTAATTCTGCCCACGTGTGGATGGTGGGATCAAACCAGTCTGGCTCAGAGGTGCTGGGGAAGCTGCCCCGGGCACAGCTGCCCGGTGGCAGGGCTCTGCCCTCACCCACAGTTATGGCTCTGGAAGGCTTGCTCAGGTTCGGAGATGATCGAAAACTTCCTGGAGATGCTCCCACCACTCTTTGTGAACCTTCCCTCAGGCTGGCAGTGCCAGAGTCCCTCTTAGTTGACTTTTCTTTCCCTTTCCCAGAAAAAAAGACTGGAAAAGAAAAGAAGAAGAGCAAAAAGGTGTCTTCGGAAGGGGAGCCGACAGCAGATGGCTCTGCTGAGGTTCACAAGAAGAAGAAGAAGAAGGTACGTGCAAGACCCTGGGACGGGGTGCCGTGGGGAGAGCTGTTGTGAGCCGCGACGCTCGTCCCGGCAGCGTGCCAGGCTGGAGAGGAGCGGAGCCGTGTCCTGGCCTCGCTGGCAGTACGGAGGAGGCCGCAGTTAAGTGTGGCAAATAGTCTGGGATCACCCTCACCTCTGGTGGTTTGGGGTTGGGGTGGCTGGAAGAAGGGTTTGTCCTGCATCACTCCCCCGGGACAGATCCCTTTCCCTGGAAGGGTCAAACCCAGGGGCCCTTGTGGTGGCAGAGAACCTGTCCAAGGAGTAAGTGCTGCTTCAGCTGTCCGTCTGGTGGCTTTCAGCAGAAACCGGAGCTCCTGAGGGCTTGGCAGGCTGCTGCATCCCATCCCGAGGGCCGGGAGGGGGGCAGAGGGAGCTGCAGGATGCTCCTTGTAATGGAGATGTCCCTGTCGAGACGCAGCCAAGAAGCCTTCAGTGGCTTGTGGCTCTGCTGGGTCCTTGTTTGCGGTGCAGATGAAGCTGATCCATGTTTCACCCTTTTCTTTTTAGAAGAAGAAAACAGCTGAGCGTGAAGGATTGTGAGAAGGTACATGGCCTGTGGGGACTATCAGTTGGTACCTCCGAACGGCGGTAGCCTTGGCCAAATGCAGTATCCCGGGCCAGTCGCGGGAAGGCAGTGTGCCCTCCGAACGCCCGCTGGGTCAGCCTGGCCGCAGCTCGGAGGGCCAGGGAGCGGAGCCGTGCAGGAGAGTCGCGTGGCAGTCTGCTGCCTTCTCTGGACGCGTTTGACCTCAACTCTCTAGCTGCTGAGAACTGGATGCCCAGCCTGGACGTTGCTGTCCTCTGTCACCAGCAGAGATAAGCGGCCTCCGGCAGCGTCCGTCTGTCCCTGCTGACCACAGCGAGCTTGGAAAAGTAAACGTGGAGTAGATGGTGGTGGTGTAGCCAGCTGGAAGTGGACCGGATGACTCCACGCTTGCTCTGCTCAGCTGTAAGGCTGTTACCCTCCTCCCCACCCCTAACTCTTTTAACTCCTCTCCCCAAAGGTACCGCGTCCCTGTGATTAAGGATTTATGGGTGAAGAACAAACAGAAGAGAGGAAAAGGAAGCTCATCAGGAGAATTCCAGTTTTGTTTTTTTTTATAATAATTTATAACTTCTTTTAACTGTGACTTTTAGAGCAGAGCGGTGTAACTTTCTGTCTCCTGCCCTGCTGGGGCCCAGAAACGTGTTTCCTGCCCCTCCTGACAACTCGCCTGTTGCACAAGAACTGAACGGAAGGAGGCGGCTTGACCAGAGCCGAGCCAGCCTGCATGGACTGCTTTCCTCCTCGTTGTCACCCAGCCATCTCTTTCTCTTTCTCATCACAGAGCTATATTTTTAAGAGAAACTTTTACCTTTTCTTCTTTCCTTCCCCCTTCTGTGATTTTGTGGTGTCAGTCCTTTTGCTACTACGGAAGAGAGCCCTTGGGTTCACTTTTTATTCTGACACTGACGGCCGTGGTTACCGTGTCCCTGGAGTTGCACTGAGCAGCTGTGTCCAGCAGCTGTTCTCCGCCAAGGCAGCGCAATTTTTTTGTGGGGGGTTTTTTTATGGAATATAAAATAAAAAGAGAACAGGGAGATTTTGCTTCAGCTGCTGTCAAGGGAGGAAGGGAGGCGAGAAGCCCTTCGGATCGGAGAGCAAACCCCAGCCAGGGAGGCCAGGCGTGGGGTGGAGCCGCCGCGGGAGGATGGTGCAGGTAGGAGGGGAGGGCAGAGCCCGGCTTCCACCCGGGTTTGGAGGCACCGCTTCAGCCCCTGGGGAAAAACTGCCTTCTGCCCGCTGCCTCAGGAAGAGCAGACGCTGTTGCTCCTCCGCTTTGAACCGCGTGTTCCTCTGGCCTTGGTTTCTGT